GGTGGACAGAATGCTGACAAGAGCATTGGCATCCCGGGGAGGAAACCTCATATGCTGAGGCCGTGCCCACAAGCTGCAGGGGGCACTGGGTCAGAAGTGGAACCGGGGTCAACGCTGCATCTTTTGGACCTTCAAGCAGAACCAGCAGGATTAACTGGAACTCGATCCCAGCGGTGACGTGCCAGGAGACCGAGGGTCAAACGCAACCAATGACGGCGTGTCTTTGGTTTGGATGAGAGCCCATTCCACACACTACGAGAGATTATCAATTGGATTTTTTTACAAGAAAAGGAATCCAATGCAGTGCTCCCGTCAACAAAACGAAATGCCTGGGAAGCGGTGAACAAGTTCTTCGCGTCCTACTTCAGTCAATCTCATCACTCCGCTTCACATGTCAACCGAACTAATCAACAACTCTTTGCACAAAAGGAGGCCGTGTAAATTCCGTTCCCCCAACAGGCGGCACACTGGAGACAGAGTTTATTTTCAATTTGCAGCCAGATTAGCAGGCGTGTTTTTGATACCATCACAACGGCAGATTTTTTATTTTTTTTCCCCCTATTTCCGAGTCGACTTGAGTGAGCGGCCTTTTTAGTGCCTGCTTCAAAAAGCATCCTCCGTACCCGAGCAGCTGTCACTTTCAGCAGGCACTGTGGAGGACGGATGCGGGGGAGGGGTCCTTTGAAGGAATGGTTAAAAGTGGGCGATAAAAATAAACTGGGAGAGAGGAGAAAATTAATTATACATAACAGACAGTTCACTTGGATGAGCACGACAGAGACAGAGAAACTAAGGCTGCTTCACTCACAGAAAAAATAAAAAAAGCCATTTTCTGGCAGAGGAAATTTCTGCTCCGCCACCACAGTGGTCATATTTATTTGGCTACATCTGAAGTGAGGGATGCAACAATGAAGGTCAAAGCATCAAACAATACAGACAAGGCTTTCATTTTTTTAAATTCTACGCACACTGGCGCTCGCTTCATGCACCCTCTCTAAGTCAGGCAGTTTCCTGGGACCAAAATAAAACTGCCAGGCCCGAGCGCACTCTCCTTCTTAAAAATTGTGATGAAGCTCGCAGATAAGTCAGTCTTTAAAATCACTTCTGATTGGCACTGATTAGGATTTATGCCGCCGGCTCACCTGCAAGCTCACCTCTTGATATGATTCGTAATGCACCAGCACTTTGCAGTTCAACACCGCCCACTGACTCTCAATCCCGGCTTCTTATTTGGGCCAAATGGAGGTCATTCCTATTTGAGCAGTCAGTCAAGACAGGCCCGCCAGGTATTGGCGAGTGAGTTTATTTCATATTAAGGCTTGTCGGCTGGAGAGGTGTTAGCACCATGAGAGCGGTGTGTGTGTGTGTGTGTGTGTGTGTGTGTGTGTGTGTGCAACAGGGCCTTCGGGTAGAGCCCTGCTGCTGGTCCCTCTTTAGTGCGTTTTAATATTGTTGCTGCTGTGTGGCTCCCTCGCCTCAGGGCGCCACACAAACCCCGGAGAGACCAAGTAAAAACACTCAGACAGAAAGAGAGAGAGAGGATGGGAAAGAGATGGAGAGGTGACAACATGGAGAACCAGGAGAGGATGTGACAGAAACAGGGAAGGAAGGAAGTGAGGAAGTAAAAATCCAAACAGGAAACTTAAAAAGAGGTGTTAGGAAAAGGAGCAAAAAGGCAGACGCACACAGACGGAACGAAAACACTCTCGGAGCAGAGCGCCGGCAACACGGCTAACCTCTTTAGCGAGACTGACACAAATGAAAACTTATGTAATAAAAACACGCCATCTCCGTCGGCTATGATATGGAAGCAGATATTGCATTACGGCGCCGATGTGTCAAGGAAGCCCTCGATCACACATGGGGGAGAGAGTTCAGGCCTTGGCGTACCTGACAGGCAAGACCAGTCATCCCACCAGAATTGTGCTGGAGAACTAGTTGAAAGTTTTTAAGACTGCTGAGAATTATGCCGAGAGAGAGAGAGAGAGAGAGAGAGAGAGAGAGAGAGAGAGAGGATGATGAGGGAAGAGTGAGGAAGCATGTGCATGTTTTCAGGAAGGAGGGAACCAGTACACAAAGAGGAGAGTGGAAGGGAGGATGGGGAGACAGCTCTTGGAAAAATGGCAAAGAGAGAGAGAGAGAGAGAGAGAGAGAGAGAGAGAGAGAGAGAGAGAGAGAGAGAGAGGGGTGGTTTGGAAGAAGGGAGGTAGACGCAGACAACGGTGGGCTCCTGACAGGAAGAGCAGGGAGAGAGAAGGGGAGAGTGAGGAAAGAAAGCCTGAGTGGCAGCATAAGTCTGGAGGCAGGAAGAACGGCAGAGAGAGAGAGAGAGAGAGAGAAGGCGAGAAGAGGAAATGCCTAAACATGAGGTTGTCACACTGGTTTAAAATGTCGAACAGTATAAGGGAAGCTGGAAAAGGAGCTGGATTTTGCAGTCTAGTGACACACACACACACACACACACACACACACACACACACACAGTGAGCGTGAACACAGTCCATATATCGACTCGCCGCATGAAAGCAATGAAACACAGTACAGCAGACCCTGAAGAATACGATTATGCACTTTAAGTCCTTTCACATATATGAACAATTTCAATGACCCGGTAAAGTAGTTGTTTTACTACCAGCTGAGAGAGCCCCTTGTGAGCGTGGTGGGATTTAATTCAAATCTTCTCCTTTAATTGGTTATTCTGAAACCCTTTATCTATATATACACCAACACAAAATATTTAGGGCCAGTCTTACTGGTGGTAAGCAGCGATTCAGTTCTCACTTGAGCACAGCTCTTCTGCTTTGTCATCCGTCTGCAATCTAATTAAACCTTGAATATGCCAGTCACTGAAAAGTCCAGAGGAATGTGATGGGGGGTGTGTGTGGGGGGGGAGTCGCACAAAGGCAGGACCGGCGGGGTGCAAAGTGCACATGTCAGCTCGAATTCCAAAGTTTGGACATCACAGATTTACCAGCAGCCCGACCGGACAGGACAGACTTTTTACAAAGACGCACGACACTGCTGCTCTATTGTGGGGCAGATTTGTATCATAATTAGGGAAGATTGAGGCAAATTGCTTGTAATTTTCTGGCTGGGTTGCCAGCTTTCATGTGAAATGACATGCAAGGTCACAGTTTTGCACCCCCCACCCAAAAAAAAAAAATAAAAATTAAAAAAAAGGAGGGCCTCAGCTGTATAAGGTGGGAACTTTTTGAAACCATGAAGGGATAACCAAGGTGAGATTGTTTCTCCCAGTTATGCGAAGCTACACAAGAACATGTGGTTGTTTGTACATGTACAAATATTACCATAGTTGGATAATCATTTCCACACCTGTCAGATAAATGAAATGAAATGTGATTACACAGTCTTTGCACAAAGAGGGCCGTCGCCATGTTTGGTTTACATTACTGCCACTCCTTTGCTGTCAGTCACACACACACAGCCGTGTAGAGTATAAGCGTTTGGGTGGAAGGAGTTCGTTGCACCTCCGTTGTGTGGTTGGTGACCTGGCAAGCCTTGTCTGTGGTTGAATGATTTGAAAGCTGCGACTGGGCAGCACCTCTTTCAACAAACACTCATGTCACGGTTCACATCCCGCATCATTTAAATGTGAATTGCTGGTCACCGCATTTAACTGTCAATAAGAAAGCTGCTGCTGCTGCTGCTGCTTGACTGAGCTGAGGCAAAATTGGGTCAAGTCACTTCTGATAAAGAGTTATCGTGTTAGTCACACAATGCCTGTGTCTTATTGGGGGGGGGGGGGTGTTGGAGTGGTGCCACGTTAGATAAAATACATCAATCAGCACTATAGGTTTATATCAACTATCTAAAATGCTCAGTAAATACAATGCAGGACTCCTCCTTTGATAATAACTGCATATTGCAGTGATTATGTTTAGGCTGTAGTCTGACCCTACTCCCCACCTCATTTTCCTCCCCAAAAAAAGAAAAGGTTCAAATGATGTCAAAGCCCTTGCTCATCTAATATGATTCATGAATACATGTTGAAAACGGGCTCCAAATTAATTCACGTAGCGCGCGGGGTCGGGGTGGGTAGTCTAATTTGGTTAAAAAAAAAAAAAAACTAGAAGTGAGGAGAATCCGATGGAGCAATGAGAGCATTTCCAATAGCTGAACACCAATGCGCACTCAACACACCCACAGACACTCACCACTCCATCCCTGCTCAAAAAGGGGAATTCAATTGCTGTCGAATAACAAAGCTTACAAATTGCCTCTCGTTCGTCAGCAGATTAACGCTGTTCTCACACCACACCAACACAATTTCGAATTAATTCAAAGCCAGTAGGTTGATCGATTTCTTTTCTTTTTGTATTTGAAAAGGCAAAGCACCACGTCCCCGAGGAGAAATCACTCCTCCCTCAGGTCCGTTTAAGAAAGCCGGGGCAGGATACATTCAAATGGAAGAAGAAGAAACAAGCATGAAAAATAGATGTTTAATCGTAAAGCATGCAAGTCTCCCCGGACTATTTACCCAGGCGACAGTGCATACCTGTGACTGTGTGCGTGGTGGTGCCATTCCCCCTGTGAAGGCAACGCAACAGTCATATACGCAGCATATAGCTCGTCCGCGTCACCAAACACTGGTCCCGGAGACTCCTTTTATTACACGACTCCAGACATTACAGCCAGGCGAAGCTCTTCCAGATCAAAAAAATAAATAAAAAGTCTCCTTTTTTCTTTTTTTTTGCTGCAGCCGATGTTCTCAAAAACCAGCCAGAAACTCACCTCGCACTGCACCAAACCAGAGGCAGCGCAAACATTGTCTTAAGTTTCAAGCGCCAAGGTGCTGACCGCAGAAAAAAACAACTAAACAAGATACGTGCTGATTAATTAAAAACATCCGCTGTTTTACAGTTTAGTGTGGATCAATATGACTGGTGGTCACACCGGGGCGCACGTTCAACACAGCACAAACACAAGCCTCCACACACACACACCCACACACCAAGACATACACAAACACTCACACACACCTACAGAACTGGATATTAGAGCTACATTTCCTCTTCATGCCCGTTTCAGTCCTGGGTTTGGTTGGAGCCTCGAGCTCTCCAAACTCGTGGAGAAACCAGACGCCGAGAGGGAAACACAACGACAAACTCACCACACGGAGCAATGGAGAGAGAGAGAGAGAGAGAGAGAGATAGAGATAGAGAGAGAGAGAGAGAGAGAGAGAGAGAGAAATGTAACCTAAATATTTAAGCCGGCTCTACTCCAAAACCTGCTCCTTCCACACGACACAAAAAAAAGCCCTTCACCGGAGTTCCCACGGTACTTACAGGTTCAAGTGATCCGTAGGTTTGATATCCTTTCCATGGTTTTAAAATTCCAAAACTTGGGGGACATTCCACTCTGGTCACGGAGCGGCGGTGCTCTCTCTCCGGCGGGCTCCCTGCGTGTGAATGGAGAGGAGAGGAATGCAACTCCGGCTCCAGGAGGAGGGAGGAGGGAGGAGGCGCTCCGCTGCCGCAGTGCCGCACGGAGCGCCTAGAGGGCGCCCCCGGGCCGACTCCCGGTGCCACGGGGGGGGGGGTGGACATGTGTGAGAGCCTCATTTTAATCAAGTCGCCTTTCCCACTCTTTAACAAAATACTTTATTTTGTGTTGTACCCAGTTCAATTTTATGTTTTACATATCCGTTATAACATTCAAAAGCTTTTTATTTAATGAAATCATTATTTCAGCATAACAGCTATTTATGTCAGTCGTGTTTTATTGCAATGAATTCATGTTATAATCTGAGATAACAGTTTTAACTTTTCTATACAGTGAATAAAGTTGATTCAACATTTTATTTTTTTTAAATGACATGAAGCCCTTTTTCTGTGCATATACTGTGCGTATTGCGCGGATTGATATCGTTCTCTTTGTCATATTTTATGTATATAATACTTGACAGGTAAGAGAAATTGACAAAATATTTTTATTTTAATACATACAAAAGCAAAATTTTCTCTGTGGCACATTACCCAGAAGTTCATTTATTAATATTACAGAAACGTCTGTCATCATCACACCTACACTGTACGATATACATACAGTATCATCTCTGACTCAAAGTTTGGACAAAATAAAACATTGTGTAAGAATTGGACTACAGCAAAGGGAAAGTATTGTGTAGGGTTAGGATGGTGTTGGGAGGGGGGGAGGGGTGAAAACAAATATTTGCTGGACAAATGACTGACATTGACAGAGACAGTAAAGACAGTTTAGCCTTGACGTGAGGCAGATTATTGGATACCTGAAGGTTACATTTAAAGCAGAAAACATCTAAGCAACATTTACACAGAATAGTGTTTTAAATAGAAAATGCTCCGGGAGATGTTGGTGAGACGGGTTTAGTTGTGAGTTCCCCAAAACAAGACGGGCTCCCTAATTAAATGAGGCGGCCCCGGGCCTGGCTGTCGCATCTCATCAGCTGACACTTTCACACTGACTAACTTACACTGAGTGACACTCAGATGACAGATTTTGGATACAAGCTGCGCCCGTAAGGCTATCCAGCCAACTTTTTAAATCTCACTTGTTTCTTATGATAAGCCACCTCAAGACAGTCAAAGTGACTTTGAAAGCTGAACTTCAGTATTCATCACGCAGTCAGTGACTATCAGGAGCTCGAACAAAGTGTGTTTTGGGCACTGTTCCATGATGTCTCTGCAGCGAGGAAGCTTTTGGGATAACTGAGTTATTCAAACAGGCAGCTCAGGTTACCAATTGCACTCAGGAGAGCAGAGAGCAAGATCTGGCAATAACCACACCACCTGGCCCCGTACGCCATTCAGTATGTGTGTGTGTGTGTGTATATATGTGTGTGTGTGTTTTTAAGAGAGGTGGCGTATTTTTGATTGAGATAGATAAAGACATTCGTTTGCGTTATGTGAATAAAAGAGCAGCTGAATTTCAGCACTTGCCAGGAAATTTCCCCATGGTCTATCACACCACCCAGCTTTCAATAGTGTTCAAAAGCGCACTGTCTGCCATTAGAAATGGTTGGTTTGGCCATAGTACTACTAAGAGATTAGGACTCACTTACCATGTGAAAGGCCTCTGGACAAAGCCATTCCCTATCTTGCTCTCAAACACTAACACATTGATTAGCTCGGAGTTAGTGCGGTTTGCGTCCATCCAGTTCCTCTTCAGGCCTACTGTAAGTTCTCATGGAAATATTTTTATGGAGTATCAGACTGAGCACAAAGTTAGCTCTGTGCAAAACCAGGAATCAAAAAACATGCATGCAAAATGGGAATCCCTTTCCTTTCTGTTGTACACCGTTGTGCGCTGCATCATAATACAGTCACGATGAAGACAAAGCCACTGAAAGATGCTTTAATAAAACTGCTCTCCCTTTCTATATACTTGGCCTGTAGTGTACAACCAAAAGTTATTTTGCATACAGTGCTGCTCAGTGATGTATTTTTCTGAAAGAGCCAGATTAATCTTGGCTGTCATGATTTGACTATACAGTGCACAGGCCGAGCAGCTTGGGCTGAAAGCACAGAGAATATTAAACAAATGCATGCATGGCTGTTTGGTGGTTTGCTGCTGTTTTGCTCTCTATTTGCTTTTGCTTTTTTTTTTCTCTTATTCATGCAGTATTAATGGGACTGTGTTTGGCAAGAAGAACAAACGTTTTAAGTGAACAGAGAGCTACAATAACTGACTGATCAGAGAGAAAAGACTCCCAGTTGCCCTTGAAAAACACAGCGAATACACTAACCTAAAACTGTGAAGACACATACGTATATATATATATAGTTCTGTGCAAACAACTGAACAAGGATGTGTGCATTAATGCTGTGCAACCCAAAACAAAGAAATATGAATTCTGCAGATTTCTTTATCCACACAATGATAACAGATCAACGGATGCTAATGAGCTCTAAAAACAAACAAAAAACCTGATGTTTTAATCCCCAAACCTGACAGATAATCAGTGTTTGTTCTTCACCAGTAGCCAATGGCATCACTTTCAACGCTCGTGAAACTCAATCCTTCTTCCTTAAAAGCAAAAGCAAAAACAAAAAAGCATCCGATCTGTGCCAATTATGTGAAACTAACCAGATTTGAGCCAGAGGGTGAAGTGCAGGTCTGGTGGCCCTTGTAACCCGAGGTGGCCTAGCTCTAGCTAAACAGGTAATGAGTCATTAATTGGGAAACAACAACATGGCTGACTGGTAGGCAGCACGATTACATATCATCCGGTTAAACCTGTCTGATCTGTTTGTACAGTCGCTCCAATCCCATTTCAGCATCATGGAACCACGTCATCTGAGCACGCCTCCGCCGCCACATCGGGCGAGACAGAGACGTCTTGGAAAAACCTGTTTAACTCAAATACATACAGCCACAACACAGTCACAATGACATGTCACTCTCTTTTGAGATCAAAGAGAATGATAAGATGTTTGAACAGTTTGGTCCTTGGTCCTAGTCTGTCCTTGTTTAGGCACTGACTTAACATACTGTAATAACAAGGAAACAATGTCCTCCTCTATAATAAAGTCCTCCTTAAGGTCAGTCATTCACTGGGTCTGTTGTTTATAATCGTAACATTAATAACAATACCTTTTATTTGTATAGCACTTTAAAAAGGTACAAAGGCATTTTACATAGTAAAAACAGAATTAATAAAAGCAATTACAATAAGAAGAAAAGAGATGACAGAACAGTAAGGAACAACACAAACACATACATATACTAGTATCTATCATGTCAACAACATATCGTCCTGTGTCCTATACTCCCTTAACCCTGGATGTTTAGTCCACTCATATACGATGTGTTGGTAAAATTCAGTACTTTCAATAGAACCATGATGATCACAATGTGTTGTTTCCTTTATGTTGTAAAAATGAATGGTTCCACGCTCATTGTGTCTGTTGGGGAAAAAAATGTCTTGTGAAATTCGACAGTGTAACACAGTTCATTGCACCAAACATCAGCTGATGTTATTTGTGATTTTGCACACGTGTGCAATATGATACACATCGGTTTTGAAGAAATATTCATGTTAATATTATAATTTCGACCATGGCGCCCAGTTCAATCCAAAGCTGCAAAAAAAAGCATCATACACGATGAACAGTGCATGATTGAAATATGTTTTAAACAACTTTCTTTGCACTTGTAAACATAAAACGCATGTGGAAAATTCAAAAGCTTCCGTGCACTGCCTCTACTGCGAAAAGAATCTCTGTGGTAAAGATACCAGCTGGTAGCAAAGAGCAGCAAAACAGACATGAATTTATGTGCAGCCATGGTTGCAGATTATTCATGTTAAATATGACGAAGCATTCAATTCAAGTAAATCACAGAAACACATCTCAACACGAGGAAAACGCACAGATCAAACAGTAACATAAGGCGGCATCGAGGAAGCAGCCTGGAGTTGGCGGAGGTGAAAGTTTTTATGCATTTCGACATTATGCAGTATGCTACATGTTTGAAATAGTAATGTCTTAAGTAAGGTAATATGAGTAGAGAATATTTCCACCTTAATTATTCATTCAGAGTGTATTTCAGTTGTGGGGAAACCTTAAGAGACTCTGGAGACTTGTTCTTTAAATTGCTGCAACCTTATAGGCAGGCTCATTGGCCATGATTTAATGTGCATCTTTTCATAGACCTCAATTATCAATTAACTGTAAGTGTACACCACTGGGAATATCTTCAGTCATGTCCACCACATTAACATCCATTAGAAGGGAATCACCTGTCTGCGCTGGAGCTCCTCAGCTGTGGAATGTTTTCCTCTGGGCTGCGATCTGTCACAGTGGAAAGAAAAAGACTGGCAAAATAAGAGTCTGGAATGGCTAGTGAATCATTTTAAGGTGGTCACAGATCTCAAAGTTAACAGTTTGGATCACACTGTACGAGTTGTAAGCCCGGAGACTGATTCCTCTAATTATGAACGTGGCAGGAGAGTAGAACCACCGTGAAATTGCAGCAGAGTTGTGCCCTCATCATGTGTTAGAATATGACGGATGTCTATATTTTAAAACACCAAGATCTTTAGAATGAAATTCGGTTGTGTGATTATAGTGGAAAACAGAGGTTTGCCATACCATAAGGCCTGAGAAGTGTTATGATTAATAAGTAATTGCTATGAAAAGGAGTTA